CGGCATGTTTCAGTGTTCTATATCACCTCCTTCCCCTGGTGTGGGTGGCGCCAACCTTGGTAACAACTTGTGTATCCTCCGTGACTACCATTAATGGTAGTCACGGAGAATTAATTACTGGTGTGCCCATCAGTCTCACCGTCGTAGCCATGAACTGCAGAGATATGGTCGTTGTGGTGCTTTTATTTACCAGTTACACATCTCTCACCATGCTTAATAATATTAACTATCTTCATGACATTCTTATTGTTATCAGTGATTGCGGAATTCACGATGTTATGCTCCACCTACACACAGCTTGTTACTAGACAAACCCCCACCTCCTCTTCCCCCCCCCCCACACACTACAGTGGGCGACATCTGTTGGCTGACCATAGCATTTCCCCCAGCTGTTTCGAAACTTCAGACTCAAGGCAATTCGAACCTTCACTGTGGCTGGGTAGTGGACACGACTTTGGTGCACGATAGTACATCCGAGATATACCAAAAGTTGCCAAGTGATTTCAGTCTCGAATTAAAGTACTTGGAAAAGAGAGAGTGAAGCAACTTACGGCAAAGAGAAAGGGAAGAGAGATTATCAACTAAAGCAGAAGAGTTAATAAGACGAAATGCCTTTGATTCCACCCTTTCTAACAGTTGGATAGAATAAGAGCCACCCCCAGATATGAAAGCAGTACTCCAAGTTAAGTCGAATGAATCCCTTTTAAACCTGAAGTAATTGCTCAGGAGTGAAGTAGCTACGGTATCTATACAGCATTCCTAGCTTTCGGGAGGCAGTTTTAGCAATGTTTTGGATGTGTGGCTTCCATGACATGTTAGAGGAAATGGTGAGGCCTAGCATATCTATTTTGGAATTTGGCAGAATTATTGAGCCCTGAAATGTGATTGGTGGGAGATCTTCTATATTGTAAAGTGTAATTGGTAAATATTGTGTTTTATTATAATTTTTATTATTATTTTATCCTCTTCACCACTGATCAGCTTGTTAGCCGCTTGGGCAATCGGTCACGTCTCTGTCACGCACTGTTGGCAAGTACTGGGCATGCACCGGCTCCTGAATGTACCTGAACCTGCTCCAGTGTTGGTCAAGTCTGGTCTTGAAAGAGCTCACACTCAGTGCCATCACAACACTTTCTGGCAGATTGTTCCAAGAGTTCACAACCCTCAATCAGAAAAAGTTTACCCTCACAGTTTTCTGGACTTGCGGCTTCTTCAATCTTGAGCTGTGACCCCTTGTGGGGCGAGCGTCCGCCAGCTCCAAGTAAGGACACTCAACTGAGTAGTGCCCCTTGAGATGCTTATACACCTCAATTAGGTAACCCCTTGCCCGTCTGTAGTATAAGCTAGGCAAGTTCAGGCGCTCCAATCTCTCAGGGTAGCTGAGGTGCCGTAGTGCAGGCACCAGTCTGGTTTCTACTTCCCCATTCGGAGATGCTGTACAGATCCGCGTTGATAGATGGAACGATATCAGCTCTAGAAGCAAATCTAGTTTGAGAGTTAGGAGGAAGGGCAAAATGTGAAGAGTGAAGAGTAGAATCATCAGCATAAGAATGGATAGAATTAGTCATAGTGTGAAGTAAATTGTTGATAAAAAAAAGGAAGAGTAGGTGAAAGAACAGAACCCTGTGGAACACCACTATTGGTAGAAAAAAAATTGTCATAGAAAACTAGAATTTTCATCAGAGAAAACGGAAAGGTTTTCATCATAGAAAGTGGGAAAATTCAATAATAGAAAATAGGAAACTTCATCTTAGAAAACGTTAAATTTCATCTTAGAAATGGGAAATTTTATTCATAGAAAACGAAAAATTACATCATAGAAAACGGAGTTTCATTATAAATAACGAAAAATATATTATAGAAAACGGGAAATTTCACCATAGAAAATGGGGAATTGTACCACAGAAAATGGATAATTTCATCATAAAAACGAGAAATATCATTATAGAAAATGGCAAGTCTAATTATAAAAAATAAGAAATTTTAATAATAGAAATCTATCATAGAAAACGGGAAATTTTCATCATATAAAACAGTAAATTCATCATAGAAACTTTAATTTTCACAATAGAAATGGGAATATTTCATCATAGAAAATGGGAAATTTTTGTCATAGAAAATGGGGAAAATTATTATAGAAAACGAGACATATATAAAGCAAATATCATTTAATTATGGTATCTTACCAAATAACACACTGTACAGTACAGGAGTTGAAGAGCATAAATTCATAATCTGTAATCCGTACAGAGATCACCATAAAGCTTCTGAAAATGTGGACCAAAGTGAGATGTTCCCATCACTCAACTATCCTGACAATATTCTCTTGTAACAATAAAAAGTTTTTTATTTACTTTTATTTTCTTATTTTTTTACCTTTTATTAATCTGCCCTCCTTTGTTCGTTACTCTCTGTATATCAACTTCGTACTGTATACTTGTGAAATGGAGAAGGTTAGGGAGCAACTGAGAGGGAGAGACTTGTTTATGGCCGAGGCTGGCTGAGGGGTGTTAAGGAATGTAGGCCCTCACTCACCACGGGGAGACCAAGGATGTGGACAACTGAGGTAATGGGGTTATGATATTTCTTATGGCTCACTGTATCACTGCATAATACCAAAGACATGCATGACAATGTTTTACTCAACACAAGGGAATTGAGAACAAATCACAACGGTTCTTCGTTTATTAACGACGTTACTCAAAAGGAACGGTTTCACTTTCAAAACAATAACCTGTCTTCCTAGCTAGCTAACGAGGGGTCACACGAATCACAATAAATTTCGTGAAACGGATAAAACCTGAAAGGTCCGACTCACACAAATATATTCCGCCATGGGAAAGGATGACCCACGCACATCTATACATCACAATGCCAAAACAGACTGCCCTAAGACACAGGCTGCCCTAAGACACAGACTGCCCTAAGACACAGGCTGCCCTAAGACACAGACTGCCCTAAGACACAGACTGCCCTAAGACACAGGCTGCCCTAAGACACAGGCTGCCCTAAGACACAGGCTGCCACACGATCATGACGTCACGTCTCCTTGCTCTCTTATTGGTTCAGGCCTAAGGCATTCACACTCACAGGTCACTGTGATTGGCTCACGCTTGGCGGGAAACATTCATGACATTATTACACTGTGAAGCATAAGTTCCATTTGATACAATTAAATATTTCCTGGTATATTCCTCCTTTTCTTTACCCTTAATTGTATTCGACATATTACAGTATTTCAGAGTTATAATGTGGTACAGTGGTAGTTTTTAGACATCAGGTATAAACCACAAGTTTGTCTTCACTTGTTAATATCGTACTTGTATACAGTCCTGCTGCATCCTCCGGTCACTTAATTTACTTAGTAAAATAAATAAAATAATAATGCATTAGTATCTGTGATAAGGGACATAATGAAAAATGTATAGCAGAATATAAAAGCATTTAATCAACTTCATCTCGATACAAATGGTCATTCAACCTTGTTTTAGAACATGGGTTCTCAACCAGGGGGGGGGGGGAAACTGGTTCGGGAGCAAGAGATATGTTCCGTTGAGAAATCAATCACAGAATTTTGGCCCTTAATGTGCGATTCCTACCCAAAAGTGGCAGAAAGAGCCATCCGTGCATTGCTTCCGTTTGTGTCGACATATCTTTGTGAGTCAGGCTTTTAAACTCTGTTGCAAATTAAAACGAAGCAACGTAGTAGATTAGAGGGAGAAAATGACCTGCGTTGTGCCCTTTCAAGCACTCCTCCGCGTATCCCAGAATTGGCGAAGAAAAAACAATCACAGGTTTCTCATTGACTGTAATCTTCATCTGAATAAAATTAATTATAAATTTACAATATCCTGGTATTCTATTGAACTTTTTGTTTATTGCATTATGCTTCAGTTTGGTCTGTTAAGTAATTCATTATAAATAAAAAAAAACTATTTTACTTTTATTTAAGTTTTATAAATCCATCAACATTTTCAATTGGCATTTAATTTGTAAAACTCCACTATAAAAATAATCCATGTAAAATTGTAAATGTATATGTACTAATATGGAAAAAATAAAGGATTTTCAGTATTATATGCATATTATTTGGAATGCACTTTTTGAGGCAGACAATCTTGGAAAAGAGGGGGAATGACATTCTGACATATAGTGAAAGGGGTGCATGGCAAACAAGGTTGAGAACCACTGGTCTAGAAGGAGCAGGATCTCACTAGACCAACACCTCATCATAGTTTAACAAGTAGGAGAATTTAAATTTATACCCAAATTTTAACTTATAATCCCAGAAAAAAGTAAGAAAATGCCCAATAAAATGTACCCGGTATTATAGTAAAATTATTACATCATAGTTTCTAATCTAAAAACTAGGAAAAAATACAATGTCGATGTTTTTAACTAAAGTATTGATGTTTCATGGTAATGCTAAGGGTACAGGGTATTTTTTTAATCAAAGAACCTTAAATGATTAACATATTTTAGGACGTGCAATAAACAGGAACCTAAAAATATAATAATTTAGAAACATTTAGGGATCCCGAATAAAAACGTGACCTTGTACATCAGCCAAAATTGCGACCATTCTTATCGACAAAACAATTTAATCCTTTACATCTTTCATTCTTCATAATGCACAAACCTTTGCTAAATTTATTCACAACATCCAATGTACTGTATATGTGTAAGACTTCTGATTACTGATGCAGTGAACCACAAAGACCATTTTCTTAAATACTGTACTGTTACTTGAGGGTCATATGCCTGGAAATTAATGTGGGTGGAAAATTTATGTTTGCAGCAAGAAAACTGGTATAGCTTAGGGTGGTTAATCTTCAGGTGAAATAAGCTGGGTGGCGAGTCTTCAGGTGATCATTAACTTATAAAGAAATGTTATACAGGTATTTACATTACTGTGAACCCTTCCAAGGCTAAATGATACATTGTCAACTCGAGCTCATATTGGAGGAGCTTAGGAGCTATTGTAATAAAAATATAGAACATCTGGTTAATGTCTTAAGTTTTTATCTTTAATACAAGATGGATATAACAAACTTTAATACTAAGTACAAATCAGTGTTAAATGAGAAGAGATCAGAGGTTAGCTCTTGATTTTTATTCTCTTTGCTAGTAAAAGAAGTTTTACATATTGCCTAGAACTGGAATCCATTAAATGCGGAACAATAATGGGAGACCTATCTTCTTTGGATACGGTACTTGAAATAATGATGTAAGAGTAGTAGAGGGAATTAAAAATGGGAAGAGAGTCAAATCCAGTAGTCATTTTATACTTAAGAAAACTATATTAGAATATCAAAATAAATATGGAGAAGAAAAGTACAGGAGTTATGGCTTTAAAATGAGAAAGTCAAGAGGAGGGTAATAATGACAAGATACAGTACAGTAATTGAAAGATATATTTTGAATGGTTAATAGGGCCTAGTAATGGAATGGAAAAATGAGAAAAACACTTCAGTACTAGGACAAATATTTAACGAGATAAAATAAACATAGTCCTCGGTTTCAAATTGCACTGAGATGAAACTTGGCAGGAATGTTTTAGTTAAGATTGCACTGAAGTCTGTAAACTGTATGACCTGTCTAATAAGAAGCACTGAAAATATTGCAGTAACATTGAGACATTAAAACTATTTGTTCTCAGCACTTCTTTAAACCTCTGCTGGGGAGAAATGACGAAAAAATTTAGAGACAATTCTGGTGTGGTGGTCCCTGGTACACCTCACAGATTTGAGTCTTCAAGTCCCCAAGTGAGGTTCTCAGTTGATTACGGTTGTAGTGCTGAGGACGAAACATTTCTATTATGGGGAGCAGAGGGTAGATTGTGGTAGGTTTCATACACATAGTTTGAAAGTTAGCGATATAATGTGTGGTGTGAGTGCTGTTGTGTGATGTTCAAGGTGTTCTATTGTTGCCATCGACGCTGTTCGTGTATCAATCAATCTCCCCATTCCCAAGTAATATTGGTATAGGAAGGAAGTTCATAGATATATTGATCGAAATTTATAATCCCCGGGTCGAAATGTAAAAATTCCAAGTTCATGAAGTAGCTCTGCAATTTAGTGGTACTGTAAATACATAATTCTACATTAGCAATAATATATCATCATATATTAAACTCATTTGTTTGGATTTCTTCTGTTTATATAAAAAAAAGGTCTTTTAACCAAACAGGAACACAGAGAAAACTCCCTTACCCCGTCAATGGTAACTGTTGGGATGAAGTAAACGCGTGGCTTGAGTGACGACGTCCGGACACCATTCTTATAGAGCAGACCAGACCCAACTGTACTCTTAGAGCATTCATCAATCGGGGCCCAGTCGACGCCAACCTCTCTGCTACACTGCAGGTAAGTATTTGAACAAGAACAGTAAATAAAACAAAAGGTGAGAATAGCTGAAGAAAGGGACTACAGTACTCGTGTATTATATGCTAGAAAAAGGGTTTTGTAATTGTCTAAGTCAATTTCACACGTTTCTACATCTCTTTACTTTTCTCTTATCTGACTGATAATACAACAAAAACGTAAAAACGATTCAAATGTTGAAAATACACAAAAACACAGAAGTAAAGTTAAAAATAAAAGTATTATATATATATATATATATATATATATATATATATATATATATATATATATATATATATATATATATATATATATATATATATATATATATATATATATATATATGCAAGTAAATCACTGTAGGTGCGCATGATCTAGGTATATGCTGATAACCACAAGGAAAGAAAACACGAAGTTCCCAAGCGCTTTCGTGTAATTCACATCTTCAGGGGTGA